ATAAAATTAACATGGTTAGCTTGAATCATTGAAAATCATCTATAAGAACCTGATTGCATTTATATTTCTTTAACATTGGTCAAAGAAGTAGTTATGCTTTCTTAAAGGCAAAACCGTATGCACATAGCCACCAAAAATACCAGAGTGCCATCTATTGGTAAACATGTTAGCAGACAGAAAAGGCACTGAGAAGCCACGTAAAATATACCTTCAGTAATGTGCCCCTTATGTAGGTTATATAAAATGTGAAAGATGGAAACAAAATTGAGAGATGTGGTTATGGCATTTTCCAGGAAAATTGGAAAATATTTTTCCTAATAATTCATGCAAAATATAATGATATTTTTAAAAGCAGAAAAAAACAGGATAACAAAAAACATTATAGTTACAATAAATTATTGAAAGCTTTCTCCACTTCTGTCCCTTCCCCCCAGAGTAGGAATGAATTAAGGATGTCAACGATCATACTTTATGTTCAATATTATACGGGAGATGCTAACTAGTGTACTATGGGAAGGAAAAAAAATGTTCATGTTAAATGTTAGTGGTGTAAATACTCTAATTAAAAGGCAAATATTGTTAGAATAGATTAAAACTGCAAGAACTGAACATATGTTAGCTATAAGAGAAACACATTAAATATAAAAACACAGATAAATTGAAAATAAATGTGTTGAAAATTATATATATTATTCAAACAGTAAGCATAAAAAGATTAGACTGGCCATAATAGTAGCAGCTAAAATAAGATTTGACACAGAAAGTGTTACCAGAGATAAAGAATGACATTTTGTATTGCTAAAAAGGTTAGTTCATCAGGAACTAACAATAGCAATTAACAAATAGCAATCATAAATGCGTATGTGTCTAATAACAGAGTTTCAAAATACATAAAGTAAAAATGGAAAGAAAGGAAAAATAGTTCTACAATTACAGTTGGAGAGTTTAATATCCTTTTTTTCAATAATGATGGAATATCTAGACAAAATATCAGTAAAGACAGAAGATCTGAATAATCCTATCACCTTGAACTAATTCATATTTATAAAACATTATACCCAATATCTGCATCTACATTTTGTTCCAGTACATGTGGTATATTCATTATGACAGACTATATTCTTTTTTATTTTATTTTTAGTTGATTCATAATAATTGTATATATTTATGTAATAAAGAGTGATATTTTGATATGTGTATATGTGTAATGATAAATCAGTATAATTAGCATATCCATCATCTTAAATGTTTATCATTTCTTTGTGTTATAAACATTCAAAATCTTCTCTTCGAGATTTATAAAAATTCACAATAAATTATAGTTAACCATATTCACCCTATAGTGCTGCAAAACACCAAAACTCATTCCTCCTATCTAGCTATAATCTCGTATACACTAACCAACTTCTCCCCGTCTTCTTTTCTCCCTACCCTTCTCAGCTTCTAGTATCCACAATTCTACTTTCATGAGCTCAACATTTTTTATTAGCTTGCACATATGAATGAGAACATTCAGCATTTATCTTTCTATGCCTGGCTTGTTTTGCTTAACATAATGTCCTCCAGGCTCATCCATGTTGCCACAAATGACCAGGTTTCATTCATTTTTATAGCTGAATAGTATTCGATTGTGTATATATGTCACATTTTCTTTATCCATTTGTATGTTGATGAACATTTAGGTTGATTTCACATATAGTGTTGCAATAAACACGGGAATGCAGGTATCCCTTTGATATACTGATTCCCTTTCCTTTGGATAAATACCCAGTAGTGGGATTGCTGGATCCTATGGTAGTTCTATTTTTAGTTTTCTTGAGAAACCTCCATACTGTTCTCCACCATGGCTACACTAGATTACTAGTTTTTCTGAACAACATACATAAGAGTTCCCTTTTTCTGCATCCTCATCAGCATTTGTTATTTTTTTGTCATTTTGGTAACAGCCATTCTAACTAGGGTGAGATGATATCTCACTGTGATTTTGATTTACATTTTCCTGATGATTAGTGATGTTGAGCATTTTTTCATATATTTGTTGACCATTTGCATGCATTTTGAGAAATGTTTGTTCAGTTTCTTTGCCCACTTTTTAATTAAATTATTTGGGTCTTTTTTTTTTTTTTTGCTACTGAATTGAATTCCTTATAAATTCTGGATATTAGTCCCTTGTCAGATGAATAGTTTGCAAATATTTTCTCCCTTGCTACAGGCTGTCTCTTCATTCTGTTGGTTGTTTCCTTTGCTGTGCAGAAGCATTGTAGTTAAATAAAGGTCCATTTGTCTATTTTTATTTTATTGCCTATGCTTTTGAAGTCCTAGTCATAAAATCTTTACCTAGATCAGTGTCTTGAAGTATTTCTCCTAAGTTTTATCTTAATAGTTTTATATGTTTAAGTCTTTAATTCATTTTGAGTAGATTTTTGTATAGAGGAATAGAAGTCCACTTTCATTCTTCTATATACAGATATTCAGTTTTGCCAGCACTATTTATTAAAAAGGGTGTCTTTTCTTCAATGTATGTTCTTGGTGCCTTTGTTGAAAATCAGTTGGCTATAAATAGGTGGATTCAATTCTGGGTTCTCTATTCTGTTCCATTGGTCTATGTGTTTGTTTTTATACCAATAGCATGCTGTTTTGGTTACTATATAGCTTTGTAGTATATTTTGAAGTCTGATAGTGTGACTCCTCCAGTTTTATTCTTTTTTCTCATATTATATAATATTTATATGTTATATATATTTTTAACTATGTCTATACCTTTGGAGAGTTCAGTGGGCTGTACTTTGGCCCACTTTCAAAAGACATGTCCCACTAGATACTGACAATTTGTATCCCCATTATTCCTATGGAGAGGATTTATGACATTAGAATCACAAGGCTTTTGTTTAAGAATTGTGTAAGATGTTTTTCAGATCTGAAATTCCAGTAGAACAGCTGATGCCAATCAATTTGAAGTGAAACCGAATCAGCACAAGAATGCATTTTCTTCATCTCCTGTCCTGTGACTTCACCCTACACTTGTTGACCAACCAACGATCTCCACACTTTGGCCCACTTCAAACCCCTTAAAATCCCTAGCCCCCAAACTCCTTAGGGAGGCAAATTTGAGATTTCCTCCCATCTCTTCGTTGGATAGCCCTACAGTTAAACTTTTCTCAGCTGCAACCCAGTGTCTGGGAGTATTTGACTTGACTTACACATCAGACAAGGACCACCTATTATAGTTACAGTAGTTCCTGTTGGTCTCTCCCTCCACCTACCTTTGGAGACATATCCCTGAAGGCTCATCTGCATATCCTCTCCCCTTCTAAGACCTACCTTTCTCTTGTGATCTAAAATAAAATGTTAAGGCTCACCCTCCACTGGCTGACTGAATGGACCCCCTTGTGGCCAAAGGAATATCCTAAAACTAAATTGTCTGCCAGGGGAAGGGAGGTCAGACATGCCTCATCATGCACCCCCTCCCTTCTTGGAAACATCTTTTGTAACCCATTAACAAGCCTAAGGATATGCAAGACAAATCTGCAGGTCCTCAATTTACACAACAAATCTATGTTCAGTGGCTTATCTCTGATAACAGCTCCTTCTGTTGAAACATTCCAAATATTTAGAAAAAGCTTCATGTCTTTAACCAATTACAAGCCAAAGAATCTTTAAACCCACCTATAACCTGTAAGCCCCCCTCCCCCAGCAGATGGCCCACCTTTTTGGGCCCAAACCAATGTATGCCTCCCACGTATTGATTGATGACTTTACCTATAACCCTATCTTCCTGAAATGTATCAAACCAAACTGTAATGCAGCCAAATTGAGTCCACTTGCTCAAGGCTTCTTGGGAGTGGCTTTGGGTCATGGTCCTCAAGTTTGGCTCAGAATAAATCTCTTTAAAATTATTTTACAGAGTTTGGCTTTTTTTGGTCGATACTCTGTATGAACTTGACCTTCCTTTATGCAACAGGAAACAGGTGTAAGGTAAGACAGTTGTCACAATCTGTCTTGCTTTTGTCTTGCTGTTATTTGTTGGTAGTGGTAGTTTGTTTCCTTTTTGGAATTCACTGGCTTCCTTTTCCTGATCCTTTGATAGGACAAACTTGGGATGAGTTTTGCCTGGGTCTAGAGTCACATCTACAACAATGAAAGTCATGGCTATCTGCAAAAAGCCATTGTGGGATCAGGGATTTGAGATTTTTGCCTCAATCACTTATCCAGGTCAACACCTCAGAAGTACATATGCCCTGTGCTGTGCATGGGGTCTACCACCACAGGACATACCAGGGCACAATGAGTCACTGGGTGGCAAAATGGCAGAAGGTTCTATGAGCACTCAGGATGGTATAGTGCTGAAAAGAGTCTTCTGTGACAGGAGAACAGAAACTTGTTTCATAATGTTGCCTCTATCTTGAGTTGTTGGACCAGAGGGACTCTGGTTGGGCCAAACTCCATGTTTCGTCAGCTAGCACAGTCAGCACCTGATCAGCCAGGCCAGAAGCCCAAAGTTGGCCCCTGGCAGCTCCCAGAATTCAAGTTTGTTAATAACACCTCCTGCTGCTGGTGTACTTAGTCCCCCTTACTGGCTCCCTTGAACCACTGCATCTATTTATTACTTAAGCAAGCATTTATTGTGTATTTATCATAAATGCTTCTTACACTTGAGTTTATAAATGTGGCAAGCTATTAGTTTGAGGGGGTAATCCATTTTAATTCCATTTGATCCATTTAATTAAATTCCATTTAAATCTATTTTAATTCCCATTAAATAGTAATTCTAACTTGAGTGGTGATAATTTTGCTCTGATTTTGAAGTGGAGAAGTTAGAGCTGAGTCACTAAGGACTTGATCCCTGACCCATAGCCTTTTCTCCACAGGGCACAAAGCAGTGATGGTCTCACGGCTGGGCCATTAGTGACTCCCATTTCCTGTCCTGGGTGGCTAACACTGGCTATTGAAAAGTATTTTGTTAGGTTTGGAGCCAAGAGAGATATACACGAAGCCTCATATGTAGCAAAATGCTGTTTATTTTGAGCATGGGGTTCTGATAGGTGGAGGCGAAAAAGGGGAGACAGAAAAGGGGAGAGCCTTGGGTTTTATAGAGGGTTTTTCTGGGGGGAAGTAAGTGGGCCAGAACAGCAGCTTGTAATAAATTCTTTTTCAAATAACCAGTTCCTAGGACCCCTGCCCCAGTCACAACCATCATTCAACTCTGGCTGCATCAAGAAAGGGATAAACTTCGTCCCTATATGGTGAGGGGTGGGGGTGGCGGGAAGGAACGCTGGCTGTAGCCCTCAGATTTACAATGTCTGAGGACTCTCCAGACTCCTGTGGCTATTGTTTTACAAGCATAAGTTTTCCATAAATCACATTCCATCCTATTATACATACTTTTCGGGTTCCCACCTGGAACATGTCTAACATATTTGAGTCCAGCTGAGGGATAGAGGAGGAAAATAAGACACAGCAATAGGACAGAGAAGAACGGGAGGCTGGTTTGGATGAATTTTGTGATGTTTTTTCATGCAAATGAGCCCCCACCGCTGTTATCACTTTTTTCCCACCACACCCTTCAGAACAGTTATAAAACAAGCAGCCTAGAAATAGCAAAAGTGGCATCAGCCAGGAAGGCTTATGGATTCCTAAGGGAGTTAACAAAAGTAGAAAGCTTTCAAATTGAAGTCTGCGAACCAACCTGTGAGGGTGGAAAGCCTAGTAGATGCTCACGGCGCAAATGGAAAAGATTTCTCATGCAGAAATTAAGATATAAAAGTTACAAGTTTATCTTACTCTTTAGAAGGACAGAATGTGTGTGAGGGAGAAAGGGGGGAGAAGGGAAGAGAGCAGGGAAATGGCGTGGGATCCCAAAGAAAGAGAAGGGAGATTGATGCCTGGAGGGAGGCCAAGTGGCTTGCTGCTTTTATGGGGACAAAGAGAAAAATAGTAATTGTTGTGAACTGCCAAATCCACTCCTTTTCTTCTTAACTGCAAGCAGGTAATGGAATCTGCTGTGTGAATTTGCTGTATTCCTTCCTTTCCTTGAGCTATAAGTTGACCTTGCCCTCAAGATATGACTTTGGGCTGAGTTTGACGTCTGTAGTTTGTCCCTCATGCTGTCATCCAGGAACTTCTCAGGAACTACTCCAGCCTACAGAAACAGATAGGAAAAGGCAGTTGTAGTCAATAAGGATAGCAACTGTAAAAAATTTACATTTCCTTTTTGCCTGCTGGGCTCCTTTGAGATGTTTGTGAAGACAGAACTCTGCAGGGCACCTGTTAGCTAGGTGGAGAGGGAGGGAGAGAGCAGAGAGAGCAGAAAGCCGATTTATTTCACTCACAAGACCCATGGTCCTTTCAGATCCTCTTCAGGCTTCCTGTTTTTAGATACTCTGTGTTGGGATCATAAGATAATTTACTGCGTTATTAATCAGTCTCTTCTTTTTATTGCTGTCAAAGACGGGTATTTTTCCTGTTCTCCCCTCCTTTTCGGAAAAAGCTGAGTGCAAAAGATATGAGCAATGTTAATGGTTCTGTTCTAAATCTTATGGGCCCCACTTCCCACAGTAGTTTCACTTCTGAGTTTTGTCTGGCCTGAGTTAACTTTCTCACCCAGGTCCCAGGAAGTGGCAGCTACAGATGGGACTAGCAGCAAATACACTATCTGAGTGGTGAAGGTTGTGGAAAAGGTCCAGGCCAAGGTTTTCTTGGTGGTGAAAACCTTGGTGGTAACTGGTAGGGAGAAGGGTACATTTCCTGACAGCAGACCCCTCAAGCTCTGAAAATGGTTAGGACATTGCTTTAAACCTCTCACTCCTTGTTTGCTTTCTCTTTCACCAGATTCCACACCAAATCTCACAAGATTCAGAATACAATGAGTGAAGACCAGGACAGGCACACAGCTGATTCATCTTTGGAAGAAACAATCACTGCATTAGGACATTTGGCTGAGTTTCTCAAGTAATTTTAATAATATATATTATTTTATTTATGTATGTATTTATTTATGTTTTTAGAGGCGGAGTCTTGCTCTGTCACCCAGGCTGTAGTACAGTGGCATGATCATAGCTCACTGCAGCCCCAAACTCCTGGGCTCAAATGATCCTTCCACCTTGGCCTCCCAGGTTACTGGATTACAGGTGTGAGTCAGCATGCCCAGGTAATAATATATTGTGTTCAACCCAATATATGAAAAATTTTATTATTCCAACAATATAAACAACAGAAAATATAAGAATGCATTTACTTTTTTTCACAGGAGTATTCAAGATCTAATGTGTATATTATACTTATAGTACATCTCAATTCAAACACTAAGTTTTTGTTGAAATACTTGATGTCTATTTAGTTTTCATAAAATTTAAAATTGAAAAAGATTCATATACCTGAGTTGTTCCAAACACATTTAAGAGTTTTCCAATAACTAAATCCAGTACCCCAAACTCATTTTCCTTAAATATTCATATCCACATTGACAAAAATATTTCATGTTTTTGAGGAAGTGATTCGACTTTGGAGCAATATACATAACAGTTTCAAAACTGTCTAAGAATTTAAGTACATTCACTACTTTTTGTATCAACTTAGTATTATTAACATTGAATTCAAAGTGATATTATAAAAATTGAAAACTCTAAATTCATCAATGTCAAAAAACATACTTCAAATTTTTCTTATAGTTTTGGTAACCAATGTACATGATGCTGTTGATCACAATTAAAATTGTCTGAATAGTAATTCATATTATAAAAATGTGTACAATTATTACTATTGATTTGTACTGTTTTATGAAAAGTTTTTGTTATGACATAAACTCTCTTATCTCTCTAGTTAGGTCACAAATAAGCTTTTACTTTTCTTGGAGTTTCAAATTTAGTTTATTCATATGCAGTGCAATATCAGTAGGAAGATTTAAATCATACTGCCATGTTTTATTTTTAATTATATTTGGTAAGTATTCCTTTTGTTTCAAGAATACTTGGAGTTAACAGTATAGTACATCTTTGTAAAACTCCTCCACAGTTTAATTAGTAAGCATTGGCAAAGAACACAAAATCGTTAAATTCATTTTTATCAGATTTTTGTTAATAGTTCCATAAATTGTTAATAGTAATAATTCATAGTATTTTATGTATATACTGAATGATTTTAATAACTGAACACATGACACATTTTATAAAGTCAGCTTAAGAGAACTGAGCATAATTTTTTCAATATGTATTGAAATAAATTGAAATTTCAATATGCATTGAAATTTCAATAAGCACTGAAATAAGGGAAATATCATTTGTTATTTCCTAATTCCAAAAAATTGAAATTTTAACTTCAAACAGCTTCAACATCATCCATGTGACAAACTAGTATTTTTATATCTAGCTGAAATTCTTCTTTAGCAGATATAAAAGATTGAAAAATATCTAACTCACAAGGTTGACTTTTTTAATTAATAAACTTTATTTTTTAGAGTAGCACAGCAAAACTGAGCATAAAGTACAGAATTCCCATATACCCTTTGTCCTCACATACACACAACCTCACCTTCTATAGGCATCGAGCACCATAGTGGCACATCTGTTACAACTGAACCTACATTGACACATCATTATCAGCCAAATTCCATAGTTTGCATTAGGGTTGTACATTATATGAGTTTGGACAAATGTATAATGACATGTATCCACCATTATAGTATCATACAGAATAGGACAGTTTCACTGTCCTAAAAATCTTCTGTGCTCTGCCTATTCATCCCTTTCTCCTCTCAACCCCTGGTGACCACTAATCTTACTGTCTCCATAGTTCTGTCTGCCATTTTCAGAATGTCATATAGTTAAAATTGTATAGTATGTAGCCTTTTCAGATTGGCTTCTTTCACTTAGTATTATGCATTTAAGGTTCTTCCATGTCTTTTCATAGCTTGATAGCTCATTTCTTATAGTGCTAAATAATATTCCATAGTTTAGATGTAACACAGTGTACCCATTTACTACTGAAGGAACTTCTTGTTTTGGCAATTATGAAGAAAGCTGCTATAAACATCTGTGTATAGGTTTTTCTGTGGACATGTTTTCAACTCCTTTGGATAAATACTAAAGAGTGAGATTGGTCAATCTTATGGTAAAAAAATGTTTTGTTTTGTAAAAAACCACAAAGAAGTTGTACCATTTTGCATTCCCACCAGTAATGAGCAAGAGTTCCTATTACTCCACATCTTCACCAACATTTGGTGTTGCCAGTGTTCTGGATTTTAGCCATTCTATACTACCGGTATTAGGGATGTAGTGGTATCTCACTGTTGTTTTAATTTGCAATCCTCTAATGACAGGATGTGGAGCATCTTTTCATACAGATGCACTTGCATCTGTATAGCTTCTTTGGTGATGTGTCTGTTCAGGTCATTGGCCCATTTTTATTTACTTTTAATTATGACTGGAAAAGACTTCAAAATTGGCCAATTCATACAAAAAGTATGAACTCAATTTCAGGGACCACAAAGAATGCATTATTGTGTAGGACTCAGCACAGATCACTGGTTCTTGACTTTGCAGCATTCTGGTCATCTGGAGAGCTATTTTTAATAGTTATTAAACTATTTTTAATAGTTATTAAAAATAACTATATATATATATATAATACTTATAACCTACCAATGCCTTGGCCTGCTTCAGACAAATTACAAAGGGATGTCTGTGGGTGCTGGGGTTGCTCAGTCATGGGATTGATATCTTGCAACTCTAGAGTGACAATGAGGGGGCTTCTCTCCTGAGGGTATCATCAGGTGTCGGTTCTCTGGCCTTACTCAGATCCAAGCCTGCCTCAGATGAGCCCCAAGATTGACTTCAGCACTTGGGCTTCCGACCCCGACCCCGCCTCCCCGCACCTCCTTCGCCTCCAACTCAGTACCTCCCTTTCCTGATGTGAATCCTGGGGTCGAGCTCAAGGTCACACGCGGCTCCCCTTGGCGGCTGGACCAGGCTTCGGCTGCGGCTGGACCTGCGGTTGCCTGGAAGGCGCCGGGCCACGGAATACAAGTAGCGGGATCAGGGCGGGCTGCAGGACCCGCGGGGCCGCCGGAACCGCGGCTGCCTCTTCACGTCCGCAGGCCCGCGGTTGAAGGCCTAATCCAGGCCTCCGCAGGATAAGCCAACTATCGGGGGGCCGTTCTGTGAGGCCGTGGGATACCCTTTCCCTGCCATTACCACTGACATATTTCAGAAAACAGGCTGAAGTTCTGAAAGGGCACGGTCAAGAGTTTATTTCTTACAAAGATGTTTCCCATGTTTTGTTTGTCCGTAGGAACAAATCATTTCCCTTGTGATTCTCACAAGAGACACGCGTTCAGAAAGCAGTGAGGGTTCCGAGACGGAGGATGACTCGCTGGATTGCGGCCGAAGGCCAGACTCAACAGGGCTTAAGAGGAGTCCGCCCGATGCCAGACCCCCGCCCCGGAGGGCGGCGAACATTCCCGCACCCGGGCGCTTGGGGCCGCCCCTCAAAGCTGCTGCAAGCCCGCGGCGGTGCCCGGCCCAGCCCCGGCCCGTACGGGCTCCAGCGCCCCCTACAGCCTCCAGTTGCCCTGTGCACGTCCCACGCGAGGCTTGTCTTCCGGCGCCTCTGATTGGCCAACTCCCGTAGCTCAGACCCAGCGTCCTTTCACCTGATAGGCCACTTTTCGGGTCTGGTATGAGTCTGCGGACCTTTTTCACTGCCCCAGGATCTGAGGCCTGAACGCGGCACCCTAGGGGAGACGCACTAATAGGTTTCCGATAATGCTTCTCTCGTCCTCCACTAAGGGCGAGAGCTCCGGCAAAGGAGCCAATCCCGGTGCAATATCCGAGTGATAGGATGCAGACTACAAGTCTGGGTTCGCCAGAGAGAAACGAGGTGAGTTACCAGATAGCCGGGCGGGGACGGGGCGGGGCGGGGACGGGGCGGGGCGCGGCTGGTGCGCAGCCTTAGGAGCTACCCCTCGTAGCCGTGAAGCTGTGGTGTGCAGTTACTGCGTTTTCCTGTGAAAGATTTCGAGTGGAAAAGTATACAGACTAATGTAATGGAACTGCGTACAGATTTTTAAAGGTTAACATGTGCCTGTGTCTACTTCAGGTGTTGTTTAAAGAAATAAAAGGTGACAAACCGGAGGAAGAACTCACTCCAGGAGGCAACCACGCTTCTGACGATCGGTTATATTCTCGGTGCTTATTTCTATTAAAAATATATAAAAAGTACTTTTCCAAATGTTCGATGCAATGTGTCATTTAAACGAACTTTAAATGATTTTTTTCATTTAAATGAATTTTTAAGGACAGGCAAAACAGTTGCTATCTTGTACTGACCTTGTGTATCTAACCTCTTGCCAGTTGCTTTTTTTCCTGTGTGGTATTGATTTCATTTTATCTGTGTAGATACATACTGTTCGTCGAGTCCATTCCATTGAAAGAGTAAATCATAATATATTCACATGTTGAACATTTAGGTTGTGTACTGTCACAGCGTGGATTTGAGAGAACAGACAGGCTCTGCCTCTGTAGTCTCAAGCTTTTTCTTATTCCTGTGATTCAGCATGGTGTTAAGCCTCTGCCATGTTGCTGTGCCTAATTTATCTTAATTCTAATGACTGCAAAGTACGCCTCTGGTGTGCATCTCTCTGCTCCATTGTACCTTTTCACTCTCCCAGTGAAGGTTTTACAAATTCTAGCAGTTACTAAGTACTGCCAGGTATTATTGCACCAGAATGTCACAGTTTTATGTCACAGTTTTTATATCCTTCCATATCCTTGCCAACCGTGGCATTATCTAAGCTTTTTAATTTGTCCTGGTTAAATAGGTGTAAAGTGATATCTTGATACCGTTTTATTTGTCCATCTTTATTTTTGGTTCTATGAGTTGTAAACTTGTTTAAATAATTGTTAGCATTTTAGTTTCCTCATCTTTCTACTGCCAGATATCCTTTGTCAATTTTTCTATTGAGTCTATTATATTTTTCTGTTAATTTTTCAGATATTGATATAGTCTCGATATTAAGTTTTTTGGTTCTTCATATTTTAAATACCTTCCACAAATATATTAATGTTGTCATAGATCCTTAATTGAACAGAAAAACCTTAATTTTAATGTAATCAAAATTATAAATTTTTGCATTATTTTGGCTTGTGGGACTTATTAATACTTTAAGAAGTTCTTCCTTACTCTTAGTTCACAGAATGGCCTCTTATTTTCTTTTGCAAACTTTATAATTTACCTTACACTTTTAGGCATTTAATCTATCTACCCTTGAATGCAAGATAGTTTAATTTTTGTCATTCATTGAACTCATTTTCTGGCATCCTCCACAAACTATCCATCCTTGTCCCATTGATATGTGCTGTCTCTTCTAGCCTCTCCAGTTGAGCTTTGCTAGCAGCCTTCCTCAGGACCTACCAATAGGAGCTGGAGGAAGACTGGACTAAAAGGATGAGAGAAGATTTCCCATTTACTTCCTGTCTTTCATGTTTGCTCACATCACCATAGCAAGAGTTCTTCATCGTGGCAGCAGCAGTTGAATCCAGTGACAGCAGTTGTCTTTAGTCTGCAGATCTTCCGTGTTCCTGAAATCAGCCTCATCATGTCTCTACAGACACACTAACAATGGTGGACCAGCATCCACTCCTCAGATCTGGGTCCTAGTTCTGGGGGTCTCTTCAAAGAATCTTTTGTTTTCCCAACTCTAGAGAAGACAGCTGCTTTTGTCATTACTCTCTCTCATACTTCAGTTCACCTTTTCCCTTTTTAATCCTCTTATAACCAATTAACAATTTACATAAAATCCTTTAATTTCTGTGTAGTTCCTGGCTCCTGAATATACCCCGACACACCCTTAAGTGTCAGAGGCAAGGGGAGGGAATCTGTAACCAGAGCCCAGGGGGAGTTGGGACTATGGAGGAAAGGTTGCCCACTGGCACCAGGGGAGGCTCTGCAGGGAGTAAGTAGACTGATTTCTCTCTTTTGCCATCCAAACTCCTGCTGGGCCTGCCATTGGTCAATCCAACTTGAGCCAGAAGGCAGGGATGCACAGTTTATTCCATCTGTAGAAGCCCATCTGCTGGAACACAGAGGTCAGAGACAGAACATGGATCTGAGTTTGGGGCAAACACAGAATAAACCAGTTCAAGGATTCTTCTATCATGACCAATTTATATACTTAGAACTTGGATCCCATTGTTTTCTTCCTTAAATAATATGCACCTGTTTTTGCTTGCTGTCTCTCCTGTGCCTTCACCTTTTATTAACTTTTTATTATTTACACATAGCTTAGTCTCTCAATTAAAAAAAAAAAATGCTCCCTCTCCCTCACATCCCTATCCAGCTGCCAATGTCTCTTCCAAAGCTGACTTCGTGGGAGACTCAGTTACACCCCCTGCCTATGTTTCATCACCTCCAAGTTAAGTTCAACCCACTACAGCAAGGCTTTCACCCCTGCTATTCCTGTGGTTTCATTATTGACAAAGTCACTAATGACTTATTTATAAATCCAGAGTGCTTTGCCTTTTTAATTATCTTCTGGGCATCTCTACATATCCGTATTTGTTCTCATTCTCATTTTTTTCTCTCTACCTCAAAGAAAGTCTGAGCCTTGCAGCTCTTTCAGCTGTAATCCAGGTTATTAACCTGGAGCTCTGATGGTGTGGGGGAGAGGAAACATTCTATAGTCTTAGCATTAACTCTCAGTCTTTTGGCAGGCCTGTATCTTGGGGGGTGTGACCTTCATAAGTGTTTTATAAGAATATATGTATTCCCCCTCCTTCCATACCCCAGACCTCTACTCCTTTCCCTGGCTGCACCATTTCCAGTTTATTTCCAGGAAGCTCTGACTCCTGTGGACTATTTTTCCTCCTTTAGGTGAGACAGGAAGCCTGGAGGAGACTGCAGTGGGAGAAATTCCCTTCTCCTAACTGGGATGAGAGTCTGGCAAAGTGTTTTCCACTGGAGAGTAGGCCTTTGTTTTGAAGAATATTCTGGGTGTATTTCATAATCATTATTCTTCTTCTCTCCTTGCCAGAACTATAGGAGGATCTTTCTCAGGTCTTTCCTGCAAGAATTTGGTGGGCTTTCTGATGGTAAAGCCCACAAAAGTATGGGAGCTCCCCTAAGATTGGCTGCCAGGAGTTTCTCACTCTCTTGGGAGTCTGCACTCTGCCTCCAGCTGGTTGTCAAAGTTACCATTTAAATTTTCTCAACATGATACTGTCTCAGCTTCCAGGATCTATGCAAATATGAACATTGGTTTACATCTAAAGTGGTGTCATACAACAATGGTTAGGGACTTTTGTAAATAAATGGAATTGGGACAGTTGTGTATACTTTTTAAAAGAAAAAGAGAAATGACTCCTAGTTCATACTATACACAAAAAACTACCCAAGTAGATCTAAACACGAAAAGCAAATAAAGCTTCTAAAACTATGTAGTAAAAAATTAATCTTACCCAAAAAGAGGTCTAGCCTTTGCCCTCAGCTAGCTACTGGTAGGTGACTCTAGGCTCTTGGAATGTCCTCCCTAATAAGGGTGTCTTTGTTTACCTGGAGTCCTTGACCACCAGAGTGTCAACAGTGTGATTTATAATGGGAACTTGGAGCCACACAGTATCTGTTCTACCTCTGGAGGGGCTGGAGATTAAAGATCAGCCATATGAACAATCATCTGTGGAGCTCCAATAAAATCCCTGAACCCTATGGCTAAGGTGAGCTTCCTTGACTGGCAGTACAGTAGTTCCCCCTTGTCCACTGTTTTCCTTTTCGTGGTTTTAGTTACCTGCAGTCAACGCAGTCCAAAAATATTGAGTGATAAATTCCAGAAATAAACATAATTTTTCTATATTATCAGTTATTACTCTTACTGTGCCTAATTTATAAATTAAACTTTATCATAGGTATGAATGTATACACAGTATATGTAGTGCTCAGTACTATCCATGGTTTCAGGCATCCAGTGGAGGTCCTCAAACGGATCCTTTATGAATAAGTGGGGGGCACTACTGTACTTCATGTGTATTGTCACACATCAATGCTGGGAAAGTAACACCATCCATCATAACACTGGAAGGGGATAGATAACCAGAAGCTCACATTTGGAGCTTGCCTGGATTGTGCCTATTAGTTTCCTAGGGCTGCTGTAACAAAGTACTACAATCTGGGGTGGCTTAAAACAAATGTATTGTCTTGTAGTTCTTGAGGCTATTTCCCGTGAGACATGAGATAGTACAGGTTTATGGGTCACTTCCAATATGCATTCGGGCCTTATTTTAGAGAAGCATACCACCACTGGGTTCTATACAGGCAGGGTCTAGGCTTGTACACTTAGACCTTGCACATTCACTGAAGAGCCAACAGATAAGTGAATGATTCTGTAAAAACCACAGAAACATACAGAACTATGGCAGAAAGTGGATGTTTACCAAACCTATTTCCTCTTCTTCCTAAGCACAGAATGAGAATAATTTACCTTCCTTCCTTGGAGTTAGGAATTCTCATGTGGACAGGAAAATAGAGAGCCCTTCCAGAGAGTTTAGAAGAAGGATGATAAATTTGTTCAAACAGAGCACCCACTGATTCTTAGGTAATAAAACTTATTTCAATTTCCTTCTTACTCTTGCATCGACCATGGCTTAGCATAGGTTTGAGAAAAACCATACTGTCCATAGCCTGTTATTGCCCTTTAATAGTCAATATGAAGCGCTGTAGGATGGTGTTCAGTGAGAGTGGACAGAGTCTCTATGGAATTTTCTGACAAAAACTAAATCATCTCCAAGGCTTCTCCCAGCTCTAACTTTTCACAATTCTTTGAACAGCCGGAATCCACAACTGCTGTATAATAGAAACAGTAAGGGTAGACAGCCTTTACCATATTTTATATAGGATCATCCTCAAAACTGTAATACTGGTGCTTGAACAGAAAGACTGATGCAAAGGAGACAAAGTCCAGAAATAGACAAGTAATAAAGACAGCAGTTATAATCATTGAGGGTAATGATGGACTTTAAATATAAATAGCGTTCAGACTAGATGGCCATTTGTAAAATATATACCAGGATAAACTCTAAATAGATCAGGATGTAAATATAAAAAACCAAAACACCCGAAAGTCTTCAAAGAAAGTGTAGGTGAGGTCTTTTGATTCTTAGAGTGGGAAAGGCCTTTCTAATTATTACTCAAAAGGCATGAAAAAAATATCAATAAACTCAATTACATAAAAATAAAAAGATGGCATAGCAAAATTCATCATAAGCAAAGTTAGGAGATGAATGAGTATCATCCTGGAAAAATATATTTTGCAGCTCATATTACAACAGGCTTATCTCTCTAACATGTACAGATATTCTGGAACCAGAATAAACCCTTGTTTCTTCACATATTGTATTATGTACTTGTGGAAAGAAATGAGGAAGACCTTTGTGTCCTGTGGACATAGCTCTAAGATTGCTAAGTGAAAAATGGTATAGAATGTGTATGCATTATCCTCTGAAAGGGAGGGAAAGAAAAGTATATGCATATATTTTGTTTGTATATGCACAGATTTTACATAAAGAAACACTGGAAGGTGAAGTGTGCAAATAGGACAGGGTGTGGAACTTATTGTATAAATTTTCATGTAGTTTTAATTTTTGAATCACTATATCATCTATTAGAAAATAAAATATAAAAGAAATGAACAATGATAGTTGAGGCCTATTAACATTTTGTCCTTAGGTTGCAATATGAAAAACAAGTACCTATGATTTCCGATGTCACTTTTCACCTTTTAATATAGAAATCCCACTTCTGGAAAGCTATTTGAGATATACTTGAAAATGACTATGTAATTTTTGTTCAATTGTTAAAAATCCAGCAACAGGTGACTAGTTAAATAAACTGGAACATACACACAATGGAATACTATGGGTAACTGTAAGGCCAGTATTTTATTAAATAATTATTTAGTAGTTAATACTTCTGTTTTAATCTAGTTCTGTTTTTATATGCAGATTAATATTTTTCTAATTTATATTTACATACGCACATTGTTAAAGTACTAAAAACTATATTGTAAGGAAAAGAACATATTTTCCTCCTCTCTTCTACTTTGGCCACATAAGACACAATAAAACCTGTAGTATCAAGATGAGAGGATCCCCCCACCCCATCTCTTTCTCCCATATATGTGTGATTATTGTATGACAAAGTAACCCATTATTTTTAGTCTATAACCTCTTTAAGGAGTCCCTACTGATCTTCAGTCTATCCTGGAAATCATTTAATCTCCTGTGCTTTTCTCTGCCTCTTTCTCTTCTTTCCTTTCAAAATGCCCATAGGCAGGGGACAATTAAACCAATTAGTAAAGAACAGAATTTATAGATCATCATTGTCACCTGCTTGACTCAGGAACATCCTTGAGATAATGTGAGATTGATTCCAAGTCTACTTTTATATAGATGTGGTTGTGATATAATTCTGTGAACATCAATTAAATAGAATCTTGGAGTTGGAAAAGACCATGGGAAACATCTTAGCCACTGACTTTCAAGTGTTTTAACTGTGAACCCCCAATAAGAAATCAATTTTTCATGACTCAGAATATGCATATATATGCCTAACAACATAAGTACTTGAAACCTAAATTCTAGGAACTCCTATTTACCTTCACAAGGTGGCACATTCTAATATATTCTATTTTATTTCCAACAGGCCATAAAATTGAAAACAAAGAACTCTGCTGTAATCCAACCCCTTTACTTTTAAATAAACAAATGGAAGCACAAGGAGATAGAATAATTTATTCAGCTTTATCCATGATAAATAGTCAGCGCCAGGTATCCCTCGAGCTTAATATTGAACATTTTAGAAGTCAGACCTCCCCCGACTCTTTTTACTAATTTAGTCAAGTGCCACCTTCCCCTTTTCTTTATATTCTTTTCTATCTCAGTCACTCCCTTGGTGGCTTTACTCAATCTCATGGCTTTAAATAACATCCATATATACCATCAATGACTCTCAAATTTATTACTACTTCAAATCAACTCCATCCTCCCCAAAACTACTTTTGTTAAGACTGCCAGTGATTTCCATGCTGCAAAACCAAGGGACTATTCTCAGGCTGCTTCTCACTTTAATCTATCAGCAGCATTTCACCCACTTGATTATTTCCTCATCCACTTGGTAATCTTAAAACTCTACAAATTCCACAACATAATTTCTGATTTGCCTTCCCCCAAATCCACCACTGCACACCTGCTACTCTTATGTTTAGGATGACTATCTTAAACATACTCATTCTAGTTTAGTCTTTTAATCACATTGAGTTTGAGGACCTAGCATCTAAGAAAGCACTGAACAAATTAAAATCATATCAATATATGAAGAAAATCTAGGAATCATTCAAATTTTTAACAGTAGTAAAATAGAAACCACTTAAATATAATGCAGATACTAAAACTTAATATTATCCTAAAAGACACTTAATACCATGTTAATTAAAATCAAGAACAAAAAAGGGATGCCTGAGAAAGTTACTATTCAACTTTACTTTGGAGATTTGCAGCAAATGCAGTACAAAAAGAAAGTAAAATGCTTGGTATTCACATTGAGGAAAACAATGATAAAATTATTTATTTTGCTGTCAACTAGGAAAAATAGGAGTTCTAGTTTAAAGGGTAAAGAAAGAAAACCAGGTGTAAGTTAGCTGGTAAGTTGGTAAGTTAGTTGGTAAGTTAGCTGGATATAAGATAGCAACACATTTCTTCTCTGCTAGCAGTAAAATCTAAATAAATGGAATGAGGATATTCTATTCACAATAGAAATAAACGATAAATTAGGAATAAAATTGAGTACATAATTTATATGGAAAAATCAGTAGAATAAAAAAATAGGTCCCACTATAAGAACTTTAAAAATGGCATATTTCAGTTCAGTGAGGAAATTAATGTATTATTTAATAAATGGTATTGGAATAACTGGCCATTAATTTGGGAAAATGTAAACTTGGATTCTATCTTAAAGAAAATAAAATAGATTCTAGATGGATTAGAGACAAAATTTTTGAAAGCAAAAATTTGAAGACTGCAAGAATAATAGAAGGGTGAAGTACAGCTTCTTAACCCAAACTGGAAACCTAGAAGCCATAAATGAAAATATACATTTGTGACTAAAACATTTAACATTGTTAATAATATTAAAATACTAACACTATTTAAAGATTTATATATCGAATATACATATAAATGAAAATATACCATAAAGAAAATATAGAAAAATGTGAAAATTAGAAAACTATTGGCCCACAGGTGATAAGTATAAGGTTCATTTCTCTATTACATGAAAAACACCATGGGTCGAGAAAAAGAAACTGCCCAAAGAAAAACAAACATAAGCAAGCAATTCCCTGAGAACATATTCAAGAGGCCAATAAACCTAAAGAAAAGGATGCACTAGTGGCTATAGTAACACAAATCAACGTGACAATGAAATAATTTTACACCTGTGAGGCTGGCAGAAATTAAGACCATGCCTTGATAGTTGGAATAGAGGAGGGGGAGCTATTTCACAGGTCTGGAAGTGTGAGCTATTTTCAAGATATGTCAACACCTATCGAAATTTAAAATACATTCTAAAACCTACCAATCTCAGCTTTAGAAATCTATTGTTTATTGCACCATGTTCAGCGATGGTAACTGGAATCATCAGCAAAGCTCATCAATGGAAAGTGGATGAATAAATTGTGTTACTCCACGTGAAGGACATTAAAAATATGACTTGAAAGGATATTTGAGGTTTTGTTAAGAGAAAAGCAATATTCAGACATCCATGTTTTGTAAAAAATTAACTCTAACCACAAAACAAAACAATTATACATCTGTCTATACACATGCATATTAAAAGACTGAATTCAAAGGAAAACATAGTTATCTACCTGTCAATTGCGAGAGGGTAGGGTGGGGGACGACAGGGATAGGAGGTGCCTATAATGCAAACTTTAGAATATGAAAGGAGTTAATGAAAACGATGGAAAAAGATCTTTGAAAAATACGACTGATTTTATTAAAACTTATATGTGCATGTGCAAAAATAAAGTTTTACAACTAATTGAGCTATGCTATGTAAAAGTAAGTAAACTTGGATCGCACTGCAGGCAGCGAGCGAGGCCTACCTGGTGAGGCTCTTTGAAGACAGCAACCCAAACGCCATCCACGCCAGCTGGTCAACATCATTCTCAAAGACAAACCTCTTGCTTACCACAGCTGCGGAAAAGGAGTGATTAAAGGAATGTTATTACCAACTACTCCAAAAGCATTTCTTAGGGCCACCAATTTCGGTAAAAGCTGCTTAAGCAACATTGGCCCCAAAACAAAACATTTTCGCTTTGAACTTGCACAAACCAAGGAAAGTTAGATTGAGTGCACGTGGTACACACTTCGAACCTGGGTGAGGAATTCAACCTATTAGTCTTGGGTGTGGCATTTCCAGGTGCACCTAAATAAAACTCTTAGCGAGTAATAGTTGCATATTTACTGGGCGACACCCCAAGTTGCATTTTAAGTCACCTAAAAGATTACCTTTTTGGTTATTAGCTGGAACTCAACCTAGATGAAAACGTGATTTTAATACAGAGCAAAGCTTGGCTTAAGGGCCGTTGTGTGTGCTAGAGCTCTTTTCCTGAAATACATAGGTGGCTCTTAAAAGAGCCGTTGGGTCACTGGAAGAAGCTTCCAACCAGAACTTTTACTTTTTCTTGGGTGCTGCCTTCTTGGGTTTGGCAGCAGTCTTTGGCTTAGTCACCTTCACCTTAGTTGCTTTGGGCTTTACAGCCTTAGCGGGGCTCTTTGCTACTTTCTTGGGCTTCACAGCTTTGGACTTCTTGGGACTCTTGGAGGGCTTTTTTGCTACCACAGGCTTTTTAGCCTTTTTCGGAGTCTTGACGCTCTTTTTAGCAGCAGCCCCCGTGGCCTTTTTGGGCTTCTTAGAAGCGCCTGTTGCCCTGGGTTTTGTTGCCACCTTTGAGACGCTGGGCTTGGCTTCCACAGAGGATGCTTTCTTGTTGAGCTTGAAAGACCCAGAGGCGCCGGTGCCCTTAGTCTGCACCAGCGTGCCCTTGTTCACCAAGCTCTTAAGGCCCAGCTTGATGCGGCTGTTGTTCTTCTCCACATCGTAGCCAGCAGCCGCCAGCGTCTTCTTGAGAGCAGCCAGGGACACGCCGCTGCGCTCCTTGGACGAGGAAACAGCCTGCACGATCAACTCCGACAGGGAGGGACCAACGGCTTTTTTCTTAGCGGATGCTACAGCTTTCACAGGTTTCTTCGCCTTCTTGCCAGCTGAAGGCTTTTCAAGAGCCATGGAAGCAGCTGGAGCGGATGGTGCCGTCTCCGACATGATGACCGCGGGAGAAAACAAAACGATCTGGTAAGACCTGACAAAGCAGGGGAACGCAGAAAAAGCTCCGGAGCAGCGTATTTATAGGGCGGGGCTGCACTGTGATTGGTGCGCGCCAGTGCCCGCCCCTCGTACCCTAGCGCCCCCGGCGCCGCCGCAGTCGTTGCAGTGTCTCAGAAGCCGGCTGGGGGTAGGGGCCTCTAGGGCCCGAAGTCGGTCAACCCCTCCAAGCCCGCAAACGCACCCGAAAGACCAGCCTCGTGGAGACGGAATTTGTAGGCAGGCTCCGCTGCCCAAATAGCGTCAGAGGCTGCTACTTCCCTGTCAAAAAGCGTGTCTTTTTTAGGGAAGGGATGAAATGAGGGGAAGCGGTTTGTAAATGAGGCAACCACTTAAAATTTAAAGGAGTTTTGCCAGAAAATACTAGAGGACGAATTGTCATGGATGTTCGTTTTTAATTGGTAAGAATAATTGGGAAGGGAAAGAGGAAAGCGAGGGTTTCGGGCCTTGTCTGCAGGTTTGGGACAAGTTCTCATCAATGCCACTGCAATTCCTGGCAACGTTTTAGTGCAACATATCTGGTGAATACCTTTTACGTATTATGGTCAGAGGAAAACGAATCGTAGAAAATACCAGAATTCACTAAGGCCACAATTAACAAACCACATGTGTGGAAAACAGTATGCAGATAATTTCTGCAATTGCAATTTATTTCCGCAGTTCAATGAACTTCACGAATTTCCAATGCCTTTTTATTCATACGACATACCCCAAATAGGCTTTAACATTTACAACCTATGTTCCAGGTCAGCACATGCAATCAGCGTACCGTGACATGATCAGCTCATTCTCTAATTCAACAAAAATTTATGGAGCTCACAATTGAGCTTATGAGAGGCGTTAAATAAACGCTAGGTGGACGAAACGGGTCTCAGACAGGCATTGGAGTTTAGGTCTCCTTAGTGTGAAAACGGGAGAACATACCCTAGAGACAAGATTTTATGGCACCCACCCCTTTAAACTGTGGCTATAAAGAGCATTTAAAAGCATCAACACGCTAAAACGATTTCACATAGCGAACCAGAAACTAACTAGCAGGAGAATAAAATGCCATTAAAACCGACATCCATTTCCACAATTCAATTCTTGGTAACCGCCCAGCGCTCGCGAGACGGCGGCAGTATTTCCTGCGCGCACTGTTGCAGTTTTCAAACAAGTCCGCACAGGGCTAGGTAACCCGAGAATGCCTTTTCCTTCAAACCAGGTGCTAATACTGTAATGTAAAGACCGTGAATGTGTCCATCATCTCCACCAGTCTTTCCTACCTCCCATTTTACTGAGAAGCTATGTTTTCAAATGTGTCACTTGATTTCTATGAACTTAAACACCTAGAAAAAAAACTATGCTTAGTTTGAAGGCTAGTGAATTATAAAACAGGTATACAAAGTTGTAAAGTTTTTGTAAGTTAAACACTTTTTTGAAAGATATGGACTTTCCTTAGTGTAATAAACGAGGCATTTAAACAAACGCAACCTTTAAAAAGGAACTACTCCGAATTATATGATTCACAAGTAGCCTGTAATACTAGCTTCTTAAATAATGATTGCCGCTCCTCGCAAATGAAGGATGGCCAGATCTGCATTCTTAATGGCTACTCAAGGAAATGGACTAAACCAATCAAAAGGTAGAATCTGGCCTACCTCCTGTTGGTATACAAGGGTCATATTCATGCCATTTCAACGCTTGAGACGTTTTAAACTCTCCTGTCTGTTTTTGACGAGGTGAAATTATGCTCTTTGCGGTCTGGGTTTCGGTTTTTCTGGGGTCATATCCTTCGCCAGCTCCGCAAAGGGAACAATTCTAAACGAGTGCTTGGCGGTGGTGCTGGAGAGCCGCCATTTTGCGCCTGACAAAGTATTCCCAAGGCTTTAGAAAACAGCGTCAGGAAGCTTCAAATGTAGGATTCAAGAGTATGAATATTTAATAAAGTTGTTTCTGTGAGCTCTAGTGTAATTTTACTGTATATGAGATTGTGCTTTGTAGCTTTCAATAAAAGTCCTTAGCTAAAGCATAACAAAGGAATCCCATTTTTGTGAAAGGTTTCAGAAACTTCTAACACAGTATCAAGTAGTTGAGCAAAAACCTGTAGGGGATACATTTTGAGGGAAGGATTTTTTTTTCTTAAGGTTATACAGAAGTGGGGATACCACAGAAATTAATTATCTTTAATTTTACCAAAAGGTAAACATGCTCTATCAAAACACTGCTGTCTGGTCAGGAAAATTAGGTGTGGAAGAAGGGGACAAAAGTTGAAAAAAAATACAAGCCGAACGCAGCAGCACGCGCCATTAATCCCAGCTACGACAGAGGATTCTCTGAGCCAAAGACTGCAGGCCAGCCTGGCGAACAAAGCGAGACTCCCCGTCTCAAAAAAAAAAAAGAGAGAAAAACAAAAACTCCGACAGGCGCTTTGTAGTAGCCAATGAAACTGCACGTTTGTTGATACTTTAAAAATAAACCAATCAGAGCCTTCTACGTCATGTTTAAACGCTGCTCATCCAATCACTACACTTAACCTGCTATAAATATTAGCAACGCTTTCGGCCGCCATTTACTTAACTGCTTGGTTTCAAGTTGTAGGTAATCCCTGTTATGGCTCGCACAAAACAAACCGCTCGTAAATCCACTGGTGGCAAAGCGCCCCGAAAACAGTTGGCCACCAAGGCGGCTCGTAAGAGCGCGCCGGCAACAGGTGGCGTGAAAAAGCCCCACCGCTATCGGCCAGGCACCGTGGCCCTGCGCGAGATCCGCCGCTACCAGAAATCCACTGAGCTGTTGATCCGTAAATTGCCTTTCCAACGCCTGGTGAGGGAGATCGCCCAGGACTTCAAGACCGACCTTCGCTTCCAGAGCTCGGCGGTGATGGCGCTGCAGGAGGCCTGCGAGGCCTACCTGGTGGGTCTTTTTGAGGACACCAATCTGTGCGCCATCCACGCCAAGCGCGTCACCATTATGCCAAAGGACATCCAGCTCGCCCGCCGCATCCGCGGAGAGCGGGCGTGATAAGACTAGCTTTCTTTCATACTTAAACCAAAGGCTCTTTTCAGAGCCACCACCTTTTCAAGTAAAGTAGCTGTAAAGAACGGGAGTCTCCAAGTATGATTAAGTCAGCCATACACTTAGCAAATAAAATGAAACGTGCCGCCAACACTTTGTCCGGTTACTTTAGCTTGATGTTCGCCACTGAACGATTCAGAGAAACATGATAGGATTTTCGAGAGCACTAAATATGGCCGCTCGAACACCAAGTTATAAAAGACAACAGAAAGAGTACAAAAATCTTTAACAAGACGTAATTAGTTACGGATAAAATGTAGAACGTTAAAAAGGAAACCTACGGGGAGGGGGACCTGGCTTGGCATTTTACAATTACCAAGATTTCAAATTTTGTAGCTGTAAAGAACAGAAAAGATTTGGCCTTTTAAAGTATTTAAAATATCTTTGAAATCGGAATGGATTTACATTTAAATTCTAAACCTAGTTCCCTCAAGCCGAGCAACGTAGCTCTGTTAAGTAAACAAAAACTATTGGTCGAGCTGTCTTGGTCCCGCCCCCGACTGCTCCGGTGCTGGGAGGAGGTCTTAAGACTGTGTGCGTCACATTTCCCGCCGGCGCGCTTTCAATTCTCTACATCTGTTGGGGGCGGGGTGGTAAGGGAAAGGTAGGTATATAAGGGTCATTTCTCCCTTTCGCTCTCACTTGCTGTTGGTTCGCTTCTTTGGAAGTCATGTCTGGACGCGGTAAGGGCGGGAAGGGTTTGGGTAAGGGGGGTGCTAAGCGACACCGTAAGGTGTTACGAGACAACATCCAAGGCATCACCAAGCCGGCCATCCGGCGCCTAGCCCGGCGTGGTGGAGTCAAGCGTATCTCCGGTCTGATTTACGAGGAGACTCGTGGGGTGCTCAAGGTGTTCTTGGAGAACGTGATCCGGGACGCTGTAACATACACGGAGCACGCCAAGCGCAAGACTGTCACAGCGATGGATGTCGTGTACGCCCTTAAACGCCAAGGACGCACCCTCTATGGCTTTGGCGGCTAAGGTTTCTGATTAGGCCACAGCCTGCATTTCTGAACCAAAGGCCCTTTTCAGGGCCGCCCAAATATTCAAAAAAAGGAGCTGTGGTAATATTACTGAGCCTAGCAGTTCAGTGTGTAAGTATTGATGTAGCCCGGAGAACAAGGAAAGATTGCGGGGTTAAGTGCAAAATTCGGTCTTAACGTCTGTTTATACCCATTCAACAGCCTCAGAACAATGGCATGTTTTTACCCCCTTAGCTTCTCTTGCCCCGCTCTCACTGGATATGGGTAGTGGAACAATGATACTCCAACTCACCAAAGGGAAACGAGTAAAAAACAAGTATTGTAAGGAATTTACACGTTTTCAGCGAACAAAGAGAATCACTCCCCAATCAGCGAACCCCATCCGGGGCTGTCAACCAATCAGAACTGATGAGCTAATAGTCGCTGAGGCGAGCCAGAGAGGGGGATGGGAAAGCTTTTCGAGAAATTGCAAAATCCTGTTTTAGAAAAATTTTTAAATTTGTCTTTTTCATGGATGGGGAAATAGAGTAAGCGACATCTAAATAAATGTACCTTTATCTTGTATTGAGGACAGTATGGAAATTATCACCACCAATTACGATTTGTCTCCATTACAAAAAAAATCTCTGAAATGGAAACCAGATTCAGACCCAGGAAACAGACACCAGATTCAGGGAAGATTAAAATCTGGTTTAGGGAGAAAAGGCGCCTCTCAGTGCCAACACAGCCCTCAGCAATCAGGCATGCCTTTGTCTTTTTCACAGAGATATGGAAATTTGGATGAAGGACATATTCTAAAATAAGATTGTGGTGATGGTTGTACAACTAAGAAATATACTAAAATTCATTGAATTTTACACTTAAAGTGGGTAAATTTTATGGTATGTAAAATATATTTTAATAAAGACTATTTTATACATGGGGGAGGGAGGGAAAGAGGGTGACATGAGGAGTTATTAAGAGTAGGCACTGTCGGTCTATGAAGGGCCTTCTGCTAGATTGGGAAGTGTGGACTTTGTCAAGTCAGTGATTGTAGCCACAGAGATTTAAAGGATGTTCCTGAGCCATTTGTGTCTTCAATTAGTACAACAGACTTCAGAACTCAGCTGTAAAAGGGATATGAACTCACTTGAAGTTGTCTAATAGGGAAACATCTTACCTGAATAGATATTCACAAATACCTCCATCATTGGGCTCTTTTGGTATCATTTTAATAGAAGACTGAGTTCATTCAGTATGTTGAGTCATGGCTGTACCTCCTTGATTTGGGGGTCCTGTTTTCCACCTGACAATTGTTGCCCAGGATTTCTTGGGGGATGACAAATGTACCCAGCCCGGCTAAATTTAAAACTGACAATGGAGAGAATTTATAACTGCATTCTGGATGACTTCAGGAATTAAGGAATTAGAGGAGCAAAAATGGTGTGGTGTGGAGAGTGGTCATTTTATGTCTTCTTTAGCTGGTATGCTTGAAGAGCTATTTACTGACCTAATGTAATGTTCCAGATATTCTTGTAGGCACCAGGCTCCATCAGTTAGCAAATTAGAATTATCTCTCCAGATAACCAGAATCAATGTAAATAGGTGTGTGGACACAGATTTCCTATAAGAGTTATAGTTGGTATAATAATAGCCATAACTGGCTTCTGTTATCGTCTGCCTGGCTTTTTGAGTTCATAGCATTGCTGATAGATCATACTCATTTTAGGAATACCATCCACCACTCCAGGCCTTCCTCAATCCTAACACTCATGCAGCCCTAGTTCAGGACAAATATAATGCTGCTTAATTTGCAACCCCTGCATCATTCCTCAGATCGAGAGAGAAACTGCTATGCTGATTGCTTTAGGGAGTGACAGGTCAAGAAATTAAAGATGAAGAATTTATTGTGTCAGTACTCTTGTGGTCCTAGTGGGGGGCCTGGTGACTTATGTAGAAGATTCATGCATGCATTCATTCAACAAACCTCCATAAACTACATATTAGATATCAGCTCTGTTCTAGGGATACTAGGGATCTAGAGATACTTCAGGGACAAAACCAAGTCCCTACTTTCAAGAAATTATATTTTAGTTGGGGGAGATAGAACATCAAACAAAAAATTTTTAAAAAATACTGTTATAGCTGGGGGATTTTATATATGTATATATGTATACTATTTGAGCATATTTTATCAGCTATAAATGCTAAATGAGCAGAAAAGAGTATTATTTTACAAAGGGTGGTACAGTGATGTCTGTTTCATAAGGTGGATATTTGAACAGAAGCTTGAGTGAAATGAAGTCTAAAGTCATGCAGATATCCAGGATAAGACACTTCTAGGGAGAAAAAGAAAGTAAGTACAAAGGCTATGAGGCTGGAAATGCTTCATCCATTCCAGAAAGAGCAAGGAAGTCAGTGAAGAAAAAGGAATGTGATAGAGAATGAGGTCAGAGGCTAGCCAAGAGACAACTCCAGTAGGGCCTCCTAGATAGGTTGACCAATTCATCCTAGTTTGCCTGCAACTTTCTAAGTTCTAGTACTGAAAGTCCTACACCATGAGAAACCTCTCAGGATCAAACTGGAATGCTTGGTCACTTTACTTGTATGCTGTGTGTGGTAAGGATGCTAGCTTTTATTATTAAGATGATGGAAAGCCACTGGAATGTTTTTAGCAGACAGTGGACATGATATCTTTTAAAAGATCACTTGTGTTTGATGGAGTGCGGGGGAGAGTAGTTGAGGCAGGCCCATGAGGAGATCAGCTGCTTCTCCCCACAGAATCAAGTCCCTAAGATAGGGGTCGCCACAGAGGATAAGGAAATTGATAGGCAATAGACAGAAATAAAAAGAATACACAGAGACTAAGGTATAGTTTATAGTTTTATATATATATATAAAGATCAGATATAACATAGATGGGGCACTTAGGAGACTGGCAGTATCTCCATAAACACCAGCAATATGGTTAGATTCATACAGGTTTTTATAATCACGGACATCAATTACCGTTGTCAGGGTAACATATTTGCATATCAAGGAATGCAGTTACTAGGGGATACAGGTAGTGGGTTAGGATCAAAAGTCCTCTCAAGGGGTTTCTAATCTATGTAGGTGAGCAAACAGCTACAAAGTCTTTCAGGGGCTAACTTCTAAGTTCTAAGAGGTAGTTGTCAATTAACAAAGGTATAACAAAAGAGGTATAGTGACTCTATATTTCTTTGATTAGTTATGGTGGACTTAAAAGTAGACAGATGAGAGAGCAGGAAGCCCATCTCTAATAAACAGGTTGTTTATAACCACTGGGGCGCATCTCTGGGCAAAGTGCATTCATTGTCTCCGGCTCCCACCCTGTGGGCCATATTTGCCTTGTCTTGTCTTTCAAGACACAGGGAAGCTCACAAGTTTTGAGATACTGGGAAGCCTTCCTGGAAAACATCCCTAGATTTGAGAGTTCTCTCATGATAGCAGCCTCTAATAAGTGAACCATTGAGTCCACAGATTCCTTTCAGGGCAAAACCCTGCAAACTCCTGTTCCTGTCTTTAACATAGTAATATAGGGTTATACAATAAAATAATGATCTTATGAGCCACATCTCATTAATTCTTCAATCATATTTTCCCAACAGTGGAGAAAAAAACTGTAGGGGTGAGAGGATTAAGAGTGAAAGACGGAAGACTAATCTAAGGGCCACTGTGGTCCTCCAGACAAATGGTGATGAGGCTTGCCCTAGAGAAGCAGCAAAGAAAGTAGTGAAAAGTATTCTGATTGATTTTGAACACAGAATTAAGAAGATTGGATGAAGGTTGTGAGAAACTAAGAAAAAGTATTTTTCTTAAATTATATGTTTCTTTGTGAAGCTTGAAGTGGGTGGAAGAAATCTGTTAGCATTTGGAGAGGTTAAGGGCACCCTTCAAGAAACAACCATTGGTAATGAGAAAGAGCTGGAAGCTGCCACTGTCATAGCCTTTGGCATTGCTATAAGCTAACCTTGCACTTAATGGCTAGGCCCTGGTGCTCTCCTGTTGAACACAAACTATTTTAGAGAACAGAGAACATATAAATGTTGAGACTTGGTGAGATCACCAAGAAAAGAGAAGGGGTCCAAGAACTGAGTCAAGGGACACCACAGAGTACTTACTGCAGTATAGCTTTCACGCTCTTTAGTAGTGCTGGGTTGTATTCCATTTTATGAATATAGATCACACTTCATCCAGTCCCTCCTGCTGAAGCTTTACAGTTCTCATTAATTGGCCATTACAAACAATGCTGCACTAAATTGTACTTAAATTTTTAGCAGTTTCATTTAGTCTCATCATTTATATGCTGATGACTCTTAAATTTTTTTCTCTAGCCCAGACCTCTCACCTGAACTCACTTTCAACTGCCTATGCAATAAATATCTCCTCCAGGGTCACAGAGAGGCTTGTTAGCAAAGTAACTATGCAACAAAATTCTTTTTTTTTTTTCTGAAGCAGCCATCAATAATTTTCAAGTATGAAATCAAAGAGGCTGAATATTCAGTTGGCTGACTTCTCAATTTGGGCATTAATTCTAAATTTTCCACAACCATGTCTTACAGTTAGAAATTTTCATAATAAAAAGGTAAAAATTGATGAATCTTGGAATTTAAGGAGAGAGAGAAGATGTCTGGGAAGAGGGGGTACATTGAAGACACAAGAGCCACTGTTATCTTAGAGGAAGGATATTCTCCTAACAGCTACTTCGAGGTTAGATCCTGCCACTGGACTCGGACGTGGAGGAAAAAATCAAGAGTCCTTAATTATAAAACAGTCTACCTTAGTCCAGAAGTGGGAATTTTCAAACTCTTAGGCAGCCTGCTAAGGAGAGCCCCCAGCCTAAGGGAAGCCAGCAATGCCAAAACACCTTTAAACATGAAACTACTCGGTGTGTGGGTTTGTGTGACGTCCCTCATCATGACACCAAGCTCGATACTATGTGGGGGTGAGGGAGGGCGCCCGCCCGGTAGGGGAGGGCCAGGCGGACGATAGGACAGAGAGCAGCGATAGGGAAGACTAAAGGGCAGATAAACTGAGAATACACTTCCGGCGTTTTGATGGTAATGTCTTATGTTAACCGATTTTCCCACTTGGGAGCAACCAACTACATTATTCCCAAATTCCCTTACCAGTACAAACACCAGACAAGCCACACGCTTACACCACGCTGCAAAGTGCAGCGAACCCGACGCTTAGCCCCAGTGCAGAGCGCCGCGTAACACTGAGCGCCGCCTGTGGTGCGCTTCCTGGCTCCAGGCCCCGCCCACACGCGAGCCAACGCTCCCTTCCTATTGGCCTAAGTCAGAAGCCGCACATTAACAGACAGGACTGGCTGACGCCACAGAGTGAAGGCTAGCCAAAAGTAAACTAAAAACAACAAAGTAGAATACAGCTCTTCCTAAGAAGATATGGGCGGCCCTGAAAAGGGCCATTAGGGAGGAATTCGAAGGGGAAGATCTTAGCCGCCGAAACCGTAGAGAGTGCGCCCTTGACGCTTGAGGGCATAGACAACATCCATGGCTGTCACGGTCTTGCGCTTGGCGTGCTCCGTGTAGGTGACGGCGTCCCGAATTACATTCTCCAGGAAAACTTTAAGGACCCCGCGCGTCTCCTCATAGATCAGGCCAGAAATGCGCTTGACACCGCCACGTCTCGCCAGGCGCCGAATGGCAGGTTTGGTAATGCCCTGGATGTTATCCCGGAGCACTTTCCGGTGGCGCTTGGCGCCGCCTTTACCCAAACCCTTACCGCCTTTGCCACGGCCAGACATAGCTAGGTCAGTTCAGGATCGCCAAGGACGATGTAAACGCTCAGTGCCGAGCACAGGTAATTATATGCTTCAATCGGACCTCGTTGAAAACTGAAAGCGGGAGCGGAGACAATGGGGCGGTGCTGCCACAATCTCTGCTCCTCCCTTCTCTGGGCAGACCCGAAACCTAAATTTGAGAGAGAACACGTTAGTTCCACTTTTTTTTAATCCCTTGATTTTTCCCCCTCCCGCTGGCTACTCTGCTGTTTGAATCTGAAGGTATACTTTAGACTGAGAATTTTAGTAAGAGCTTATATTTTAAAGACAAACGCTTGAAGAAGTTAAAAATATACCACTTTGGCGGGTAAGACTATTTAAGTTAAAGACACTTAAAAAAAACAGGTGCAAAAAAATCACTCAGACCTTCATTCTGTTTCTTAAAAGCAGTAGGTGAAATTCCCATATGAAAAATGTCCTTATTAAGTTAAAGTTAAAAAGTTAAAAAAAAAAAAAAGCAACATTCTTCTCAACCATGGTGAGTTGAGGCCAAGAAAATTCTGTATGAACAACCTTTCTGGTCATTTCCCTACTCAGTTAAATACCCTAGCTCAAACATCTTTGCCTTCGCACATCTTCACAGTTTACTATGCTTTGTCCAATTCATTATGCTAACTGCTTCTTTGGGTCTTCATTTCCTTATGAAGGCTCCCATACCTACATCCACTTATGTTAAATTTGTATTACTTTTTCCTGTTAATCTATTTTATGTCAATTTAACTTGTGGGCCCACCCAGTGCCATAGGAGGGTGGAAATGGAGTTTTGCTGTCCCTACACACTGTACTTTCTCATTCAGGAGGAAATGATTGTTAGCTGTGTGGCCTAGTAAACTTGCCTCCTTTTCTTCATCTGTAAAACTGGGGTGATGATAATACTCATGGGACTTCTGTGAGAATTTAGCTAATGTAAGCAAAGCATGATACTGTTAAGAAGAAATATTACATAATTATCGCTTATTTTTAGATGTTATTACTTTTAAAATATGCCTGGAATTGGGATAGTGCCCTGAGCTCTCATTTTCAGGCTTTTACTCCCAGCACAATATTACCAGTAGCAAATATGCATATATTAGGAAGGATTTTTTTAAATCACAGGATGTAATGAAGTACAAGATACTGACAGGTTCTATTTTGTTTTTTATATGTGACATGTTACAAATGATTGAAAATATTCCTTCGTTCCCTTTCCCAAGGTTCATTGATAATTGAGCATTCAGGCTTTCCCACAGGTAAGCCTAGAGTGCAGTTCCAATCTCTATACAGACTTCTCAGTGTGTGTTAACTCTCCCTTAAATACTCAATAATCAATAAATCACCACTTCTGGAAAAACTGGGAGGGCTACTGCTGTATTTTAAGTCTGAAAAATGTATCCCAAACTTGCCTTCTTTCTCATCTCTGAGAATCTTGGTTTTTTTCACCCAACTTTCTCTAACAAACCAAAACTTATTCTAGACTTCAATAGCATTAGCTATGAACTTCATAGCCTAAGGGGGAATATTACTTCAGCCTAAGGGGTAAGTAATATCACTTCGAGGTGACTGGGGAAGAAAAACCCTGTTTAACTGAAGATCTTGCAATAATCAACATTTAATGTATACAATGTGCAAATTGTAGGGAGGCAAAATTTTACCTGAACCTGTAAGGTCTCTGCAGTTGGACCTGAGAAGTAGTTTGGTATAAAACATCAACAAAACAAGAGCATACAAATTTATTTAATATAAATTTTATTGGACATGGGAGCCCTCATAAGGAATGGCAATATCTAAATGCTTTTATATTAAGTTTAACAAAGAGAAGCAATTGTAGAAAAGCAACCAAACCATATGGGAAGGTTAGATGAAGATAAAAAATCTTTTTAACAAGGTTTCTTTGTACAGAATTCTCTCAGCTATGACTCTCTGCTATGTTTGTGCAGAATTATCTCTATGGTTCCCTGCTGAAGAACATTTCTTATCTCCTGATACAGAGAGGGCATCCTTCACATGGGAATTTTTAATCTCCTGTTTTCAGGAAGAAAATGGAAGATTAGAATGTCCTTCTTGCATTTGCTGTTTTGAAGTGCTTTTAACTTAAAATAATTCTTATGCCACAGCGTAATATTTTTGGGTGGTACATTCTGCAAACATTAAACACCCCCTTTTGGTCTTCAGCATTATTTTAATCACTCTTCTAATACAAAGTAATAGATTTTTAATGCAATGGCATTAAAATACTGGCACTATTTTCCGGTGCAAAATGCTCAGTAAATTTTCTTTCACAAGTGAATTTCTTCCATTCTTTGATTTTCAAATATCTGTTAAAATTTAATTTTTAAATGAAACAATCTATGCAACTAAGTAATGCCAAGGAAAAAGGAATTTCAGAAGCTAAAGTTTGAGTTATTTCAAAATTTTTAAAATCCTAGAATATAAGAAAAAATGATGTACAACTTGGAAAATTAGTATTATTTACATAATGCTATGTGTTCAAAAGTAGACTCATATCTAAATAACAGCCCTACAAATTGGGTAATGTTATTCCCACTTTTCTGATGATGGTGGACAAATTGATTTTTCTAAGTTGACACAGTAAATAGTAATGTGGGGATTCGAACTTCAGTAAGTGACCATCCAAATGCTGCTCTTTGCTGCTAGCTTCCAGAGTCCTCCTATAGTGTGATTAATAGTGTAATGAATTCTAAAATGGTACTAAATTTTTTTCTTGTAAACCCTGAGCAGTTGTTCTGTTGAAGGCCTCAAGTAAATAAACACTTAAAGCAAAATCCTTGTTCTGGGGCTGTAGGGGCAGGGAAGAAGGTAAGGCGGAAGGCAGAGGAGCTGGGCTGATCCACTGCACCCTGTCTCTCTGGTCCTCAGACAGTAATAGCACTTTTGCTTTTTTAATTTAATGCTATCCTGTCAGATCCTGTACCTAAAACACATTTTTTTCCCCTACAAATAACTATAAGGGAACAAAAATCAAGCATTGTATACGAAAGCCAGCACGGCTATAACTAGAAAAAACAAAATACTTGGCCTCCAGTTGGGGTTCAGAAATTAGGGACAAAGTCACTTTGGTATAGGCCCAGTACATTGGTGCCTCTAATAGACTCCTAGGGGTAACAAGTGTGTGTGCCATGCAGAGTTGCTTTAGGAGTTGACAAAAATGAATGTAAAACACAGAGAAATGTTCGTCTTCATCATTTTAATATGCAAATACTATTTCGTGAACTAAAAATTGCTTTATTAAAACCCTGGAACACAAATCCAAGTAAACTATATAATTCTAACTTAATTTTTTTTGTGTGTGGTTTTTTGGTGTTGTTGACAGTTGCTCAAATGATTTTAGCATGGTGTATCAATACACATCTTAGAAGTACACAAAGAATGTTAGGTGTAAGGAATAAGATTTAACAAAAAGTGTGTGGCATGTCATGGGTATAGTCCTAGAAGACCAAGCAATACAACCAGTATTTACGCAGTCAAATCCCTACCGCGCGTTTACACAAGAGTAAACTTCAGGTTAACCTGAACAGTAAAAGGAATTAAGATTATAATTATAAAGAAAAAAAGCCATAAATGAACGTGCATCGAATATGTCGAGAAACATCGTAACTCACTTGTGGACTCCAAACTCTTCTACCAAAACCTATTGGACAATAGTGATCATTTGCTAACTATTCCCGTTTTTTTTTTTTTCCCCTATACATTAACAGGTCACAAGGATTTTGTCCTATAAGGGACAATTCCGAGTTTATCATTCCTTTGCGTTTACTGAACCATGGAAACCATAGCTTGGCAGTTTCCTCGCACCTTTAAAAACTCAGTATTCAATTGTTGGCCCCCACACTAACGCACAGTATTTTTATCAAACTGGTAGACTCACTACAGCTCCTTCGTTGGAATAATTGGGTGGCTCTGAAAAGAGCCTTTGGGTTATCTACAGAAATAGACCAGGAACTAGGTTTACATTTACGCCCTCTCTCCGCGGATGCGGCGCGCGAGCTGGATGTCTTTGGGCATGATGGTCACTCTCTTGGCGTGGATGGCGCACAGGTTGGTGTCCTCAAACAGGCCCACCAGGTAGGCCTCGCAGGCCTCCTGCAGCGCCATCACAGCGGAGCTCTGGAAACGCAAATCGGTCTTGAAGTCCTGCGCGATCTCACGCACCAGGCGCTGGAAAGGCAGCTTGCGGATTAGCAGCTCGGTTGACTTCTGGTAGCGGCGGATCTCGCGCAGGGCCACGGTGCCAGGCCGGTAGCGGTGGGGCTTCTTCACGCCGCCGGTGGCCGGAGCGCTTTTGCGGGCAGCCTTGGTGGCGAGCTGCTTACGAGGTGCTTTGCCACCGGTGGATTTGCGAGCAGTCTGCTTGGTACGAGCCATGGCTGGGGAGGTAAAAGACACCTACAAAGACGTCTGAGGTAAGACAAAGAGCCACCTTTCTTTTATAGAGTCAGACCGCCAACTATTGGGTCCAAGAATATTCAAAAGTCCCCGCGCTCTTCTCAGATTGGTCCATTTCTGCGCCGATTAGGAAAGGTTTTTAGGCTGATGAATCCGATGCCCTGCCCTTTACAGAAACTACTCTGACGTCATTTTATTAACCCTTTCGCTTCTGTATTCCCTGTAGACAAAAATCCTATACTGCAAGCTTCTGCCTTACAATCTGAAACAAGGTAAGCACACAAAGTAATGAGGAAATCTCCAATAAATTCTGGTGGAAAAGGAGAAAAAAAGCAGATACTTTGCGGGGGGAGGGGTGGTTTTAGTAAACTCGCATAGGAGCTGTATTTAAACTGATTTTCTTGGGTGTGACATGGATACTGTAGGCAATTAGGAAAATGCTCCTGATTTGGGAAGATACGTGCTGAAGATGTTAAGTATGATGTGTCAAGGTGTATGCAACATACTCTCAATTGCTACAGCAAGTGTGTAGATTATTGAGCCTTGGTGAATAAATATGTGGGTGTTCCTTAACCTAGGTGGAGTGTGTTACATGGGTGTTCCTTAGCAATTTCAGCACATACTTTCTGAAATCCAATGCGTTTCACTGCTGTGCTTTCCTCTCCAAAATGTAAAACTGCTTTTCCTATGCGAAAAATTATCAAGTCATCCCAAGAAGAGTACGTTTTACGTGTATGACTTTTTCCCCCACATACCCAAAATGTCTGCCAAGGATTTTACAGGGCAGTATTTCCATAGGGCAATTTGCTAGGAGTGTCAGCAAGCACACCTCATTTTGCCTCATAACCTTTATTACAGGTGTTACAATCCCAAGCATGACAGCTCATTTAACGGAAGTGGTGGATGGCCCTGAAAAGAGCCTTTGTTATTTGCCCGATTTTTCGTTCTCACGGAAAATGTAAAGGCCAATGCAAGTAGTCCGCACTTTACTTTCCCTTTGCCTTATGATGGCTCTCAGTCTTCTTCGGCAGCAACACAGCCTGAATATTAGGCAGGACGCCGCCCTGCGCGATTGTCACACGGCCCAGAAGCTTGTTCAGTTCCTCGTCGTTGCGGATGGCCAGCTGTAAGTGGCGCGGGATGATGCGTGTCTTCTTGTTGTCACGGGCCGCATTGCCCGCCAGCTCCAGGATCTCGGCGGTCAAATACTCCAGCACCGCCGCCAGGTACACCGGCGCACCAGCCCCTACTCGCTCAGAGTAATTGCCTTTGCGGAGCAGGCGGTGCACACGGCCAACAGGGAACTGTAGCCCGGCTCGAGAGGACCGAGTCTTGGCCTTGGCTCGAGCTTTGCCGCCCTGTTTTCCCCGACCTGACATAACTGCTACAGCAATAAAAAAAAAAGATGTCACAAAAAATGTAGTTAGAATGCATTTGAAGTGAAAGCAAGAGTAATATTTATACTGACTGGAGGTAGGCTGTGGGGAATTCTCTCATTGGCTAACTACAAGTACCCAATAGGAAATCAGATTCTGCATCCATCATTTGCATATGGTCCTTCCCTCTGGTGTAGGGTTCACGTTTGAACTAACCACCAATCCGGCTTGTTGAACATTTAACTTGGAAATTAATAATTGAATCGATTTATTTTTCTCAAAATACCATTCTTAAACAGGGAGTGGGGGTGTGCTGACTTTTGGCCACTGGTACTTTTCTGGGATTGTGCCTCCTGGTTATGGAAAGAAAATGACTTGAAACAATTTCTAAATAGATAACATTTAAGAAGTACATACTTTTTTTTTTTTTGAGACAGTCTCAGTAGCCTCGGATAGAGTGCTGTGGCATCAGCCTAGCTCACAGCAACCTCAAACTCCTGGGCTCAAACAATCCTTCTGCCTCAGCCTCCCTAGTAGCTGAGACTATAAGGTACATGCCACTGTGCCAGGCTAATTTTTTCTATTTTTAGTTGTTTGGCTAATTTTCTTTCTATTTATAATAGAGATGGGTCTCCCTCTTGCTCAGGCTGGTCTCAAACTCCTGAGCTCAAACAATCCTCCTGCCTGAGCCTCCCAGTGCTAGGATTATAGGCATGAGCCATTGCACCAGACCCAGAAGTACATGCTTCTGTGCCAGGTGTTATTTTGAGTCCAAAACTCTCAATAGAAGGGGGGGGGCAGATGATTCTTTATTGTGGCCTAATTCTTCTTAAACTAGCTGAGCAATGAAAACAGGGCAAGGGTTGGATGACCAGCCCCTGACATTTCACTTGTATCTTATATGTAAAAGATTTCAGATCACCTTGAAGGCATGTAGAGTGAGTACTGTCCTCATTTTAGAAATTATATAATTGATAGACCCTGAACAATTATTAACCTTGCCCAAGACAACATTGAGTTAGTGAGACCAAGGACTCTCACTTTCTGCCTGGATACACCTTTCTCATAGATAAGAGCCATTCCCAACACTCCACTCCTTGCTTTTTTCTCACTTGGGTACAACACACAGGATTCTAGATACTTCCAAAAACTCCACATCATCCTGTGCTATACCCATTTCTCATATAGAACTGATAACTATAGGGGCGGGAAGACTTACCCTCTATCTTCTTTGGGTTGGATAACTGAGTCTATAATATAAACTGAGAGCTGACTGATGAACTTGAGAAAAGAGATACGAATTTATTACATGCATGGGGTCATTGCAGGAAAGAAAAGTGAATGGTCAAAAACCCAGTGAAATCTAGAAGCTTATATACTCTCTTAATAAGGAATAGGGGAGAGGGATTTAGGCATATTAGGAGAAAGTATATAGTTTGGGGGAAAGATGAGTAGCCCTTACAAAAATTAGGTGATAGCCTGTGACAAAGTGTCTGGTGTGGTGTTGATCTTTATCTCTTCTCTTGTGATACAGTTAATCTCTGGTTTATGAGATTTCCCCTGGTTGATGAGGTTACCCTGAGGAGTGAATTCATGACAACTGAGTTCCTTTTGGAGGATCTGTCTTTAGTTAAATAAGGGGAGCTCAGAGAAATACCCTACATTTACTGTTCCCAGAGTGCCCTCAGTTCAAAGTAATCAGCACACCAAAGTGGCATATTTTGTTTTGGGGTAGCATTTCCTGAATTCTTTTGTATCATTGAAGCACATACCATAGACTCTTTTAGGAAATGAGAGAACAAACCATGACATAGAAATACTCAAAATGAGATTATGTATTATAAAACATACAGAGCCATTAACTGATCTTAAGCTTTCATGTCAAGGAACATAAAATCAAGAGAGATTGCCTAGAGGAATCTTGCTTTTATTACAGAAGTAGATGGGGTCCAGGTGGAGCTAGATAATTATTTTAGGAATTTCTGAGGGCTCAAGCCCAAAGGTCTACTTATACCAAAACAGGATGGTAGAAGGAACAAGAGTCATGAGTGCCAGAAAATCTGCTAAGCTAACACTGTCAGAGAATATGGTTTGATTCAGGGAATCTGACAGGAGAGTAAAGGTGCTCATTTTTTGTTTGTTTGTTTGTTGTTTGTTTGTTTTTGCCTTTTCTAAAGTCTTCTGTCTCCTGCAACCTTTTTTCTTCAGAATAGTGAACCTCCTTTTAAAATTATCTTCACCATCAAGAACAGCAATAAACATCAATAACCACTAGCTAATGAAAAGTTGAAATTTGCAAGATCTATGATGGAGATGTGAAAGAGGTATCTCAGACACTGCCCCAGCAAGTATTAACTCTGTGAAGGGAGGACTGATATATATGAAAATTAAATAGCAGTGCATATTCTTCATCCAAAATAAAGGTTGAGCAATAAATAATATGAAAGCACATGAAGGAGAAGATTGATTACTGTAAACTAGAAGGATCAAGGGAGTTTCTGAGGTAGATATGCATCCAGAATTTATTCAGCATATATTTACTGAAAATCTGCTAAGTGTCAGAGAATATTCTAGGTGCAAGGAACATAGCAGTGAAAAAAGCAGACAATGACCTGTGTCCTCAGGGTGCTACTTTTTTCATTGGGAAAGGTGCACAGTAAGGTAAATATATAGTAAAAGTGCAGAGATAAATGATGAGTGCTATGGATAAAAATAAAGAAAGGGGATAAGAGACACAATGGGGATGTGGAGGGAAAGTGTCACCAGGAGGGTGTCATTTGAGTTCAGACCTGAAGGAGATGAAGAAGCCAGCTAAGTAGGAAGAATAAATTCTTCAATACAATGCCAGATGTATTACAAGCCAGGAAAATGTCAAGAGGCAAAAGTCAGAAGTCACAGCTATTCTAATTTCCTGAACAAATTGTAGGCCATTTTGGATGGAGCAGTGGAGATAGATAGGACTAGATAAAACAGAAGCCAAGACTAAGGGCTGCTTGAAAAACCTGGCTAGAAGCAGAAGTACATGCACTCAAATCATCAGGAATCTATACTCCATTGAGTCATGGATGAGAAAAAACTTCCACTCATCCAAGTCACCTTTAGTCAAGCAAATCAACAAGTACTTGGCATCTGCTATTAGTAAAACAACTTGATGAAATTCTGTCAGCAAGTGCCTAAAAAACCTTAAATTCTAGGAACTTGCCTTTGAATAATGTGTAGAAGACAGATATTGGGGAGGGAGATATTAGAGGTTATTTATTCCATATAAATATGAAAGGACAAGTAGTTGTTCCCCAATAACAACTCCAATTCCAGGAACAGTGAAAGTGAGACAATTTGACACCCACTAATTTGCATAAACAATGAAAGAAATATTTGTTCTTTGCTTAATAGAAGTCATAAAAGTATCATGTGACTTGAGCACACTTGTAGAAAAACTGGCCAGCATCAAGTTTATTGTAATGCAGGGGAGGAAAAAATTTTTCTGTATCCATCTTAGGTTCTTAGGACCTTATTATAAAAAACATATTAATAGGAAAACATACTAATTTATTTAATATGGGTTTTATGTGACATGGAAGCCCTCATAATTAAATGAAGACCCAAAGAAGCAATTTGAACTGAATATATATATTAAATTGGAAAGAGTAGTAAACTGTGAAAATGTGATAAGACACAGAAGCTTGGGCAAGGGCAGCTAATCCTGGAGAAGTGACTGGGAAGATAAAAGTTAATTTAACAAGGTTTGTTTGTACAGATTTCCCTTAGCCCTGATTCCCCATCATGGAATAGCAATGTCTTCCTTTCCCCAGGTGCAAAGGAGTTTTACTCCTTTTACACAGGAGTTTTATTTCCCACTTTTAGGAAGGTAAGAGTGCTCTTCTTGTATCTGCTCCTTTTCAAGTGCCTTTAGCTCAAAACAATTACTGTATCAGAGTGACATATTTTGTGGTGGCATTTTCTAAACTCCTTTAAGTTAAGAAAGGGTTGCTAAGAGACAGTTAAGGTGGCACAAGGCACCCAGCCACTTCCTGAAAGTCAGTAATGTGGAAGTATAAAGAAGGAGGTGTGAAAATCTAGCTTGGAAGGAAATAGAGAGGAACACAGGACTCCAGAGGTGGTTGTACAGCCCTCCCTGAGATAAGTAAAGGGTAAAAACCAGGATGAACAAAGAAAGGAAGATATTCTACTTCTGTACAATTGCATATTTCCAAGCACATGGGTTTCTGATCTTGAAACACAACTCTCCAAAACAGTGGCAACTAGCTACATGTTGCTATTCAGCACTTGAATCTCATTCAGATTGAGATATTCTGTTAGTATGAAATAGACTTAGTGTGAAAACAGAATGCGAAATATCTCACAAATAATCATTCATATGGATTACATGTTGTAATAATATTTTGACTATAAGAGTTAAGTAAAATATGCTATTGAAGCTATTAAAAAGCTCAATTATATATATAGGCTTGCAGTATATTTCCGTTGGATAGTGGAAACCCCAATAATGTTCTAAATGTGATATGTGTGTTTATGGAGTGGGAGGGGTCTGTTATATAAGATGATCATGACATAGTATCTTAATCCATTTTGTTTGCTATAACAGAATACCACAGACTGGGTAATGGTATAAAAAAAAATTATTTCCTACAGTTCTGGAGGCAAGGAAGTCCAGGAGCATTATAGCAGCATCTGGTAAGAGAGTTTTTACTGCCTCATAATATGATGAGAGAGGAAGATGGTGCTGGTCAGCTCAAATCTCTCTTCCTCTTCTAATAAAGCCACTAGTCCCATCATGGGAGCCCTACTCTGATGACATTATCTAATCCTAATTTCTTCCCAATATCCCCACCTCAAATAAATATAATTTGTGGATTAATATTCCAATACATGCAAATTTGGGGACATATTCAAATCATAGCACATAGGCATATAAATATAAATTTGCTTTAAAATGGTAAAATAGAAGCATTTATAAGATTCTAGATTTGTTTTGAGCTGACGTGTTCAAGACTAGACTCTGTCACTCACCTGAACACTGCAAGAGTTAGAACCATAAACACTTTTATAATCATTTCTTAATTTATTCAGCAGCTACCCATTGTTTACCTTAAACACCTTATAAAACACTGGTTAAAAAAAGATGTAATGATTCCTCATTTTCAAATAGGTTAATTTTGATAACAAAGCTTCAAAGACAGCTGTAGTTGATTTTTGATGGGACTCAGAAACAGTACCCCAAAATGAAGGCCTCAGA